CTCGGCCCAACTTCTTATTCAACCAAAGCTTTGATGGTGATTGGAACCCAATATATCAAGATATTCCGAAGATGAGTTGGTGTTGGGGATGTAAGCAATCTGGGGGAGATAATACGTACTAATAAAAGAAGTTTAGATATCTCGAATTGTTATTAAAACTTCTATTGTCGGCTTATTAGAATATGTAATAAATTAATTGTGATGAAATATGTCTCGTTGTATAAAAGATATAAGGTTTAGGCGAGTAGAGCTAAAGATGTCAATCGAATCAATCTGTTCGGTTTCAGACTAGCTAGCTAGCCATCTCGGATTGTTGAATTTATCATCTCGATCGAGCTAGAGTTACGTTTGAATTAATCATTTGATTACTCAGATAGAATGAAAATGTTGTAACATAAGAAATGTTTTTCTTTATCAATAATAGAAAAATCAAATTTTTTAAAATTTGTACGGACAGCTCAATTTGTATTTCAATATGGTAAATTAAGAATAAAAATATCAAATTTTGATAATTATAGTGAGAGAATTTCATAATTATAATGGGTTCTTTGTAAACACTCAATTTATCTTCCGATAATTTTGTCGGGCGAGGAAATTCGGTGAAAAAAGTTTGGAAAGTAGAATGAGCAATAGGCAATAGTGGAGTTGTCGGTTTGATAAGCTTGGCAGGCAAATTAAAGGACTACCGACTACGTAAGAACTACTACTTCAACACTTCAACGATGCAGCTTCTACCAAACTTAATTGGCAACTGGATTCATTATTAATTTCATGAAACTCTTTTTAGTTTTGGTCTACAATAATATCATGATATTTAACGACTACACAATAATTAAGAATATTGATTAATCTATATATGATGTAATTTGTTTATATACGCGACAGTAACATTGATTAACATTTGATGTTTTTGCTTATTTTGTAGTCTTGTATGAAACTAGCAATGCAATGATCTTATATATTACTAATTTATTAAATTTTCGTTTATATACGTGACAACCTGATAGAAATATTGATTAATTTATGATATTTTTGTTTATTATATTTAAGCTAATCTAGCTTGCACCAAACTAGCGGTGCAATGAACCATTACAAATCTCATGAAACTCTTTTAATTTTAGTTTTTGTCCAACATGGTATTGTACTACAATCAACAAATACATAATAGAAATATTATTTAATTTATTTATGATATTTTTGTTTATATATATATATACGACGTAGCTAGTAGGAATATTGATCAATTTATGATATTTTCATTTATTTCGACTAATCTAGCTTGTACAATTGTACCAAACTTGCGGTGCAATGATCCATTACTAATTCCATCAAATTCTTTTTAATTTTTGTCTAACATTGTATCGTACACTCAACAAATACGTAGTAGAAATATTATTTAATTTATGATATTTTTGTTTATATACGTAGTAGGAATATTGACCAATTTATGATTTTGCATTGAACATATATATTTTTGTTATGAAAAAGACGAATTCATTGTGGTTAGGCAAATTAGGGAGGTCACATACAGCCAGAAGCAGGAATGGTTCTTATTCATCCGTTTGAATTGTATATTTGTATGTCCTTTTCTGCAAAATTCTTAAATTATTTTTTTTATATACTTTTTTTAATTTTGGTATAAGTTGGTTGAATTCAATGTGTTATGTGCATGATTCTTCCCTTGCTTTCACGTATGCCACCGCCAATATTTGTCAGAAATTTGGTATGCCCATTCCTTTGTTTGGTGCTTCATTTTATTTTTTTTTGTTTTTGTTTTAATAACTAAGGGTGTATTTGGTTGATATGTTTAGCTCTAAAAATTTACATTTATCAATAATAAATTTTTAATACATTAAAAATAAATTTTTAATATAATAAAAATAACATTTATCAGTAATTCATATTGTAATAATATAATTTGCCCATATTATATGAACAGTATAATTTGCCGAATACTATGAACCTGATTAGTAGCAGACATAAAAAGAAATAGATTTGAAGGGCCCATTGGGTAGGGGCAGAAGATTACGTTGTGGCTGGTGAAGTGGTGAACAAAGTTGACCAGTAAAGTGCGTCTCTCCTTCCACAGTTCCACGTTTTTGCTTCAATCCATTAATATAAATATATATATATTAACACTAATCACTAATCAGTCTAATCTACTCTCAAAAAGCAGAAAACTACGTACTAACAACCTGCTTAATGGTGGTTTATGATATGGACGGAGCCAAAGGGAGCAGGGGGTCAACTGCCCCTCACTCCACTCTCATCCCATATATAATCTTTGTATATATATATGTATATATAGTACATGTTTGAGTATTAGTATAAAAAAAACTGTTGATTGTTAATAAGAAATGAGTTAATTTAGTTAGTAGAGCATGTGTTTGGTTATAATAAAGGTCAGGGGTTAGAATCTTTTGGTTATCGATGCGTTTTATTTTTCGCTCATATCCAATAATATTTACACATATATTTTTTAGATAATTTTTTTTTAAATATCTCTTTTGTTTTAATGTTTCGTCTTTATTGTAAAAAATTTCTGAATCCGTTCCTATTTCGCCCCCGCCCCCCACCCCCCAACAGAATTCCTAGTTCCGCCCCTGGTTTATGACTTCTCTATATTCTAATTTCGCATGCCCATTTCTATCAAGTGGATATTACATTAGGATAATTGCGATTTTGATTTTTAAGTAAGATAATAGTATATTTAATTTTTATAATTATATGTGTTATCACATTGAATCTCTAGGTTCTCAGTACGATAACATTTTCGTTGTTTCTGTTAACGGGTTGATTAATGATGAAGTAATTACGAAACGGATCTGGAACGAAATAATTAATAAAAATTAATAATCTTTCAAAAAAATAGTAATAAAATTTTACCTTTTATATTTATCTTTTCACTCAACTCATTACTCACATTCTAATTTCATGTCTTAGTAATTAAATATGCAAAAATATAGACCATTTTTAATAAATCCATTAAAAAAAAAAAAAAAAAAAAAAAAAAAAAAAAAAAAACCAAAAGTGTCACTTCATTGCCTACTTAAAAATTAAAGAAAAAATGTCGTAATCACCCCATTAAGTATAATGAATAATGTAGTTGGGTCCTTAATTGAAAAAACTATTAACTTATTAAATAAGTAATATTAGAAACTAATTGTATATTACTTTACTAGTTATGAGATTTTTTTTTTTTCAATTAGAAGATTCAATTGTATTATTCTTTGTACTTAATGAGTTAATTTGACAAATTTTTCACTTAAAATGAAGAGTAATGAAACTCATAACATAATTATTATAAATCAAAATAGTAGTGGACATTATTATGTATTTATTTGTATTTATGATAATGTTTTGTAACCATGTAATATATATACAATGTTAAGTGGTAATGCAAATGGTCCTCTCCAGGCCATTATTCATCCTCCATATTACTCTTGCAATCCCATTTTCTTGTTAATTATATTTTACTGTCTATTATGCAAATTCACTCGTTAGTTCCTAACGAGATCGGGCACAACATGTCAACAATAATAATGACTGAATATGACTAGGGGAACAATCCCAACCAATTAAATAAGTCAAATATTTGACTTGGTAACCAAAAGTTTTCAAATTCGATTCCCAGTAGAAGTCACTGTCTATTATAGCCTTCTTGGTTAGAGACGGAGACAACCTAAACTAATTTATTTTCTTATGGTTTTTTATCGGCTAAAGTCACAAATCATGTTGTAATTGCGAACTTCTTTATAATTTATATTAAAAAAAAAAACTCAAGAATCAAAAATGTAATTTCTAGCTAGTGTAGTAATTGGCCTATTGCGATATTTTTCATACATAAATAAATTCGAAGACCAAAGGTGCAATAATTCTTATTACACTTGGTCATGAGTCATAATCAGCATATTCTCTCAATTTTTCATCCAAGAAGAAGAGACAAAATAGTAAATGTGAAGAGGCGGGATAATAAATATGGATGGTGATTTCTTTTTTTATTATAAGGAAGGGGATACCCTACATATATATACACACTATTACCTCAACTGAGGTTCGAACTTTACACCTCCTACTTAGGAAAACAACCCAATACCAGTAGACTACAAGTCACTTGGTTATGGATGGTGATTTTGTTTTTGAATAAAATTGAATAACAAATTATAAATTGGTCGAAATCTAAAATGGTTACCTAATCTTTCAATTCAAATTCAAATTAATAATGAGGTGATCTTATGGACGCGGAGACGTACTCATAATAATTAATTGATATATTCCCAATGTTTATTACTCCGTACTATTATACAAAATCTCTGGTTTTGGGAACTATAAACCAAGAGCGCCTTCCAACAAGAGACTGACCGACCGATCATAATACAAAATTAACATAAAAGGGGTCAAAGGAGGGAGTATATATGTAAGATCTCTAATCCACACGAGTCTCAACCAAATAGTATAGTTGTCCGTGGGTGGTGGGGCTCTTTGTCTCTTTGTTCCTTTTGCTCCTGTTCCATTTTGCATTTTTTAAAATATATTAAGTTTATTAATTTATGTCGGATTAATTTTAAATTTTTAAAATTTCTGTTTAAGAGTTACTAAAAGAGATAAATTGTGAGCGATTTCATTAGTTGTTCAATCAGTTCCTAGGTTCTTATCTTTTACCTGTATAATGAAACCTTTGCGTGTATAATCTGGGCACAAAAAATCTTCATCACTTATAATTCGTAAAATCTCTTAATAATCCCAGATTTTCAAATGAGATTATATTAATGATTGATCAAATCAATTGAACTAGTCCAGCGGGTCTTTCACATTTCTTTTATGTTTCTATTTTGGCTCTATTTATCTTCCCTCCTTCTCGGCTGTTTCGCACGCCCTGGATCCACCCACCACCCTCACTTCTCACTCCACCGCCACCTCTCTCTTTTAAACCACCCCACCTCTCCAGTTAGTAGCTATCAATCACTGCCTCTCTGTTCTTGTTCCTTTGGGTTTCTGTCATGGCGTTTGGTTGCTTGGGGCGGAAGTCACGGAGGAGGAAGGCGGAAAAGGACACGAAAGAATCGGCGAGGAGGCTGACGAGGAAAGAAGTCCAGAAACTCACCGTGGATTTTTCCCGGTCCCGGGTGATCGCGTTCGGAGGGTTCAGCACAGTGTATCTGGGCAAGTTCCCAGATTCGAGCCTGGGAGCGATCAAGATCATTGACACCAGCAGCAAGCGGCTCCACACGATGTATAAACAAGAACTCGAGATTCTGCAGAGGATCCGACACGACAACATAGTGAAAGTACTAGGTTATTCCGATGATGAAGGTGTAGAAGAAGGCGTGCTTGTTTTCGAGTACGTCCCGAATGGAACGCTTCAGGAGAAGCTTCACGGCAATGGCGGCGGCTCTGTTCTTCCATGGAGAAACAGGATGGGAATAGCGTTCCAGCTAGCCCAAGTTTTGGAATATCTCCACGACAAATGCGATCCCCAGATAGTCCATGGCGACCTCAAAGGCTCCAATATTTTGTTGGATTCGGAGCTTAACTGCAAGCTCTGCGATTACGGGTCGGCCAAGATGGGATTCTCTTCCACGGTTCAGCCGCCGTCGTCGACGGCGACGGCGACGGCGAAGAACCGGACGATGATGACGATGTTTGGTTCTCCGGGCTACACGGACCCTCACTACTTGAGAACCGGAATCGCGACAAAAAAGAGTGATATTTACAGCTTGGGAGTCATTCTTCTCGAGCTAATTACGGGTTTGGAAGCTGTTTCGTCGGACAGCAACGTGAGACTGATATCCAAAGCTGGTCCGATGTTAAAGGATGAGTCTAAGGTTGCCGGAATGGTGGACCGGCGGCTAGCGGCGGCCGGGGAGTTCGAGGTGGAAGAAGCCAAGGCTATGGCTTCCATTGCGGCTCTTTGCCTGGGTGATTCTCCAAGCTTAAGGCCAACTGCATCAGATATCTTGGGAATTATGAGAAGCAAAGTTCCCTCAATTGGCTTCCTATTCTCAACGAAGAAGTGTTAAAATTAAAAGCTTACAATTATCTCAAAACTTTATAGCTCAGGGTGAAGACACATAGTTAGAATTGAAGCATGTGTTCTATCTCAACTAAAAATCGATAGTTGGATTGCACATTAATGGTTATATGTTCAACAGTTAAAAGAATATGCATAATGAGATTGTGATTAGTTGTATAGGGGTTTGAAATTGTTTGCCTCTTTGAGCATTGTATACAATTTCTCAAAATGAATATTTGATTGATTCTTCCGGACAATTTTTGTAAGTTAAATTAACAGTGGTTAAAAGAAATCCGAATAGGTTCAAATTTTAAACATATAATATACAAATGATAAACATGTAATTGAACTACCATGGACGACACATTCTTATAAAGAATCAATTTCGTTGGAATTTGGAAATGCCAAATTCAATGTTTAAATTTAGAATAGTAGTACGTGTACAACCCCAGTACACAACACACAAATTTTATTTTTTATTTAAAAAAAAAAACACCTAAAGGCTAAAGCCGTGTGTACTATTGATAATCATGTTTTAATCAGTGGACCAACTCAAACAAAAAGTTTCCTGCCACTAACAAACATGTGTTTTTCTTTAGTTTTGAATACCAATCAAAACAATTGACGCTCTCACAAAATGACAAATTTTTTAAATGTGTTTCTCCAAGTATGTGAAAGGTTAGACAATGATAATGGACTGAAATTACAAAAAATAGTCTCAAAAAACTTTATCTTCCAACCACATTAATAACTTTCGTCCAACCAAATTGATAACATAATTCGAATATTACATTTGAACAAATTTGATGAGGACATAGGACCGGGGTCCATTTTATTATGAAAGTATTAGCTCAAAGTATCTATTTTTGCCAAGTAAAATAAACAAAAGAGGTGTTACCATGTGAAATCAAATCCAAAACCTTTAGCATAACAATACAAGTTCCAAACCACCAAGCTATCATGCATTTTGATTACAAGAAGGCGGGACGCTCAATTTATCTGTGTGGAGATCGTTGATATCCTAGTGGGGGGAATCGTGTATGGCCAAGATTGAAGGCAATCCGATGTCGTACATTTGTCAATCATCTGGGAGGCGATCTACACTATAAATAGGCACCCTTTCTTCCCCTTAAAAATCATCCCTTGGTACACTAAATCCTTTTTGGTCCAATGGCTTGAGGTCCTAACCTTTAGCTCATACTAAGGTTTGATTCCTAGCATAACTTGTATTATTTGAGTCAATATCTCGGACCTTAATTTGTAAATACCTTTTGGGCCTAATGCTCCGAGCAATACTACTATTCCATACTATTTTTCTACATAATTTTATACTTTCATACTCGATTTATGGTGAATTCGGTCTCGACAAAACAATCAAAATTAAAAGATAAATTGACTATTTAAATAACCAATAAATCAATAAATAGTGACTTGAATGCAATCCATAGTGACTTGAATGGACTGGAAATTAATCTTTATTTTAGTTTTTTTTAATAATAATCTTCCTCCTGTGTAATAAATCACACTAGAAATATTTTATATACCAAATTTAATCAAAAAAGTGACAAAAATTAAATTAATAAACTTTTAGTACGAAAATTATTTTTTACTCACTTGGCCACTTGAGCACTTCTTTTGCCGCAATTTTTTGTTCTTTATTTTTAAAATCTACTTTAATTCTCTCAAAAGTTGCTCAATTAAAGCCTATTGAGAGGGAAGGCAAATGACATTAATGATTTCATTTCCGAGTTGGGATAAATTGTCGGTGAGTGCCATCATATTTGAAGTTATGGGATTAGGTGTCGGTCATTACACATGTATTTTATTTATATTCATTCTTCCCAAACTTTTATTTATATTCATATTTACATTTGTACAGTTTTTTCTCACATTTCATATTTTTCGTTTGTTTGCGTTTTATTTCCTCGTTTCTTATTTCAATACTACTCAAGTAATTACGTGTTGATAGGAGAATCATGTGTTACAAGGGGATTAAAAGAAGATTTTGTAGCTAGTAAGAAAGCCAATGTAAAGTAAATGTTTACAAAAAGATATAGACCTGTTTGGTAACATTGTTAGTTTATCAGTTAATTTTAACTTATTTGATCACTATTAGATATTTGACTTAGTTAAACAGTTAATATAAGTGATTGATTAATTAGCTTTTTGTAACAGATTATTATTACAAAACACTAAAATTCAAAAAGCTGTTCAAAATAATTTTTTTAGAAAGTCATTTTGCATGTAATCAGCTATCAGCTAACAACTAATTTACCAAACATCTTTCTATAATCAGTTAATGCTATCAACTAGTCAAACTCGCTAACTCAATCAGCTAATAGTTATTTATCAAACATTCCCATAAATTTGTGATGCTCTCAACAATGTCAACTACACTTCTTACCACTTAAACTACAATAAAAATATCTATAATTAATAACTTCTCATATAATTAATTTAAAGACCATTCATGAATCATAATATTTTCTTTTAAAAGATTATAATTATGTGTGGTTCCTGTCTTAATAGTTAATAAAGTAGATAATGTATGTGTATTTGTTGATGCTAATAAGTTGGACAAGTGGACTGTGGACGTGGACTGAATACCATACCTCAATTATTGAACTCATCCTTCTAAATCTCGCAAATTATACTGTGAAGTCTAGTCCAAAAAACCTATAATTAACCTATTGTGTAAATTCAATTAACATGTTATGTTAAATAAATTAAAAATATATAATATGTTAATTGTAATAGATACATAAGTTGTTAATTGAAGATACATAATATATATTATTGCATATACATAATCTAGCCATCTAGGCAAGGTCCACTATACGCATGGTAGATTCTAGTCCACAATGCGCATGGGTTTGATTTGTAAATCATGATCCACAATATAATAATTGTCTAAATCTAAGACCCACTTTTTACGCAAATTATATCATGGACCATGGTCCACCTTACATGATGAATTTTAGTCCAAAACGACGTCATTTTATATTAAGTCACTAACGACATCAACTGATGTATCATATTTAATAACATTCATCTTAGCCTATATTCATTATATTTGTCTTTTATGATCATAAATTTATACTTTAATGTACATAAACACTAAACTGCTAGTACATTATCATATCTATTCTCATTTAGTATGTAATAATGATTTATAATATTACTTCTATATATTCATAAAAACAAAATTTAATGTACATAAACATTAAATTCAAATAATGACTTTCTGTATAGATTTATAAAAATAGGGATGTCTTGGATGCATTTTGATAATTGCACCTTAGTCTATGAAATAACAATTACACTTTTAATTCAAAATTGAAAACTTTTTTTTATATATATAACCTAAGTTACTCAAGTTTTCCATCTTCGATGTACTATATCATGAACCCTATGAACCTTATTCCAAAGTGAATAATGAACCCTATGAACCTGTCCTCCATCCGCATGACTTTGAGATTCAACATCAAATTGTATACTTACGTGTGTGAGAAATCCAATCCAATCCAAACCTCCAATGTTTTTAGTAAAAATCAAACTTCACCTTATCGCTAGAAGCAAGTCTTAAGTAAGATTTCTCACCTACATAATCAATGCCCTAGACCACTATATAGAGAGCTTCAATTATTCATCTCCTACAGTATAAATTAACTATAACAAATCTAAAACTCAATAACAATAGCGAAACACCAGGCGACACTATTTGACCTTTTAGAGTTCTTATTAATTTAAAAAATTCTCTATCTTTATGGAGAGTAAAAAATTAAAGAAAAATAAATAAAGAATACGAATTTTTAAAACAGCTAACTAACTTGTAGCCCAATATCATCTCCGTAGCTCTCCAAATAAAAGATCACAGGTTCAAACCTGTGGATATTGACTTTTTGTACTTCAATAGATACATGGTAATAAACTCAGTATTATTAAAAAAAAAAATTAAAAACAATGAATAAAAATAACAAAAAAAAAAATCATTTACCCTCAAGTGCAGTCATTATCTGATGCAATGTTGTCATATCCCAACATTATATTATAAGATTACAAAAGAACAAATCAAATGGCTTCAAGATATTTGGTACACAAGTACACGACATGTATCGTCTGAACGCCACACGTTTGGAATTGCCAGGAATTGTCCAGAAAAATAACTTGAAAAGTATGATTGATGGAAGTGGACACATTCACCCTTAACCAAACGTAAGAGTTTAATCTTTGATCTTGGATATGAAGCAACTTACTTTAAATCTTCAGATCAGCTGGCCAGCAATCTCAGTTTTAAAAGTGCCTACAATTCAACAAGAGGATTAATCACTATGTCCGACAGTGAAAATCTCCAAGCTACACCAAAAAAAAAATAAAGAAATTGTCCAGAAATCGCCTTTAATAAATTAATACACAATAATTAATTAATAAAGTAACATGAAAAGAGACAACACAATAAAAAGAGTACTTCACAATTCACATGGTGCACAAAGAGAACGTGACAAAATAAATAAATAAATAAATAAAGTAGGGCTATCTACTTACATATCCATTCATTTTTCAAGTCCTGCCTGACACTGTAAATGCTAGCCTTCCCCAGTAAGAAGCTTTCTTATTGAACAGGATATAGTAAGAATTGACCACAAGCTATAGTGAGAATCCCTTTTTTTTTTTGTTGGAAAACATTCAAAGCCTACCGACAGTCTAAAGAAAAGAAAAACCACATTATACATGTTAGCCATTAAGAAATTGTCTGCTGCTCTAGCTTTGTACAATCTTTGAATAATTTCCTGCAACAGATATGAGGTGCACAAAGGACTTGGAACATGCTCTACTTGAACTAACCAGCCCTCTGATCTGTGTTTTTCAACATCCAGGAACACCGTATAGAATAATCTCCTTCATGGCACTTAAAAACAATGAGGTTGCAACACAACATGATCTCCACTTAATTTGATAATCCTAAGTACTGATGGAATAAGAGGATTCTTGCAGACAAGATGCTAAATTTCAGGAATAAGCATATGGTTGAATATCTTCAGCTAAGAGTGGGAAGCCTAATTTTCTGATACCATTAAAGCACACTTGGTAGAAAGAAGAGATTCTGAAAAACACCTAATTCCCTATTCTTGAATGAGTGTGGTGGGGAATACACTAGTACTGTCTTCTCCTTTTCATTCTGTTTGGCTGTTGGTTGTCAAAATTCTGCATGGGGGAGTAGCATATGTCGGGCACAAAGACTGCAGAATCGAATGAATTTTGGTTAGTTTTAG